AAAAAAAAAAAAAATCAATAACGATGGATGAGACCAAAAGCGCCCGAACCTTACGAGACAGAACCCCAGAAAATGAAAATGCCTCCGCCTCCCGCCGCCTTTCTTTTCTCCCCTTCGCCTTCTGTGTCCGCGGTCGCGATGCACCATTCGTGACATGACACTATCACCGCCGGCCTTGCTAATCTAGTCCAGAGTTCCAGAGAGTCGCCTCGCCGCCGCCGCTGCTGCTGCTCTGCTGCTGCTCCACGCAAGGCCCCCAGACCCCCTGACCACCACGCCGGATCACCACCAGCCTTAGGTATTAGCCCATCGCCCGTCCGTCCAGAGCACCGCCCAAAAACCTGCGCCGCCCTCCCCGTCATCCTCCGTAATTTTGCTTCTGCCATCATCACCAGCCCTCTGCCTCTGCCTCTGCCTCTGCCTCTGCCACCAGCCAAGCCAGCACGTCGCACCGTCAGCACCGCTCCACCGCTGCCATTGCCCACGCAAAAATCTTTCCGTCGCCGCCGACCTTTGAGAAGAACCATTGTCGGGAAAATCCTCAGAACGGAACCCTTTGTCTTGATCGCTCGCTGCTTTTGAACGAGAGAGGAAGAGAAGAACCCACCCAAAGAAAGAAAATCATCAGTCGGACGCGATGGCTCCCGCCGCCAAGGCAGCCGACGCCCGACGCAAATCGGCGACCAAGCACGGTCTGCTCATCACCCTCAACGTGTCGCCCGCCCTGCTACGCGACATCTTTCCCTTCTCAGAGTCCATCAAGGAAGGCTCCCAGTCTCCGGCATCCAAGAGCTCCAAGGCCAACTCAGAACCCAAAGAGTCGCCGGCCAGCCCCAGCGCACCGGCTGTGTCTGCCGCTGCCTCGAACGCCGACGCTGCCTCCGACTCGAATGCTGCCACTCCGGCCGCCGAGGGCACGCCCTCCTCTACACCCATGCCGCCTCCGACGACGAAGAAGGGAGTCAAGCGATCTGCCACTGCCGTGAACGGCAACAACAACGACGGCATACCCAAGCCCAGAGGCAAGCCGGGCCC